CAAACAAAATAACAAAAAACCGAGTTTACGTAAAAACTCGGGAGTGAACAGAAAACGAGTTCAATTAGACCAACCAACCGAGTCATATCAAGGATAACTCCTGACTCGCAATCAGACGAGCCGTTAACTAACGATCAAATAAATCTAGAGTCGCGTCAAAACGAGCGGAAAAGAGAAACGAAGTTACCAGAGGTTAGAAATAACTATACGCCGAGTCTTGATAAGTTTGTATACCTATATATATTGAATAAAGAAAAGGAACTCTACATCTAACAAGACTATAATCTACGGAGAAACCGCGACGATTCGGAAGTCCACTTTCTAATCCGGCCATATCCCTTCGTTGTCTCACCCGAGGCACAACACTATGATTTACCATTTATAATTTAATTGATATTTTTTATTTTTAATTATTATGATGCTTTATTATAATAAAATTTGTTGTTATATTATATCGTTTGCTAAATCTATATAATGTCGTAACTTATATCGACTTCTTTTAAACAAGTTTTATAACCATATCAATTTTCTTTTCTACAAGACTTTAGAATCATTAGAAAATTGATAAAAATAGTAAAAGTGAAACTTTGCTTTGTAAAATATTATTTTAATGATTTACATTAAATTTTCAAGAAGAAAATGCATTAATATGTTCATTTTTTATATTAACAAAATTTTTGTAAAATCATTGCTTTAATAAGAAACTCATATAATAATTGTTATATATAGAACAACATTATACTAATCCTATCGTATTATCAAAGTTTTTATTTAAATTAGAAAATTATGTATACATATATAACAACAATTTTTAATACTAAAAACTAATTTAAATTTATATCATTTTATGATTTGTAAGAAAAATGCAGGAAATATTAAATGCTTGAAAAATTTAAATACGAAGAAGATCCTTTAACTAATGAACCCGATCTTACAAAATGCTTAAGACAGGAGGCTGCAAAATGGGCATGTTTTTTCGAAAGCACAACGTGTCAAAAAGAAGCCAATCGTAAATTGAATCAACATCTAAAAACTAGTATACTTAGGTAATTTTTCAATATTTAAGATATTTATACTTAAATTTATTTTGTACAATGCAGTGATTATCAACACGAAAAAGTGTAAATTAATGAAACAATCTATTTATTGAAAACAAAACATAATATGTATTCTGAAATATTCAACTTACAGCAATGTGGAAATTCATATATTGTGGTTAAAATTATATAATTTTCAATATGTTTAATATTTTCATCATTAACAAAAACTCTGAAAATGTACGGTGTGTAATATGTATATGTTACAGTCAGTGTAATTAATTGAGAATTATTAATAATAACTAGCCTTTTCGGCCCGCGCGAAGCGCGGGCCTCAAAGCCTAGTTTCCCAACACTGACCCTGCTTATTAGTTTTCACACAATTTTTCATTTTACAAAAACTCTTTGTTATACAACATTTGTCATAAAAGATTTTGGATTTCCTTTAATGTTGCAAATTTTTCGGGGTGAGCGACGATGTGGTTTTTAAGTAATCTTTAAATTTTTTAAGTCTGTCTGTATGTCTGTCTGATCGCGAACTACTTACACATTTATGGATTGATTTTCGTGAAATATGTACCGAAATGTTTTTTATCTTTTATTATTAATATTTTTATTTTTTGCTGATGTTCCCACCGCTGATCGCTGAATATCGCGCCGATTGTTAATAAACAACCCCCTTAACGATGATCTCTCTGAGACCGATTTCGAGAAAATCGGTGAATGTATGAATGCGTAGAAAAATTCGCATAATAATGTGATTGCATGGGTATATATATATATATATATATATATATATATATATATAGGTGCGTGGGTTTAAAAATTTTAATATCAATTTCTAAAACATTGATCAATAAATTTGTGAATGCGTGGGTGGGTGCGAAGGTGGGTGAAAACTTAAGAAAAAAACCACATCGTCACACTACCTAAAATATTTGCAAAATTTTGGTACCAATTTCGAAAAATCAGTCCATAAATATTTACGCGATTGCGTAGGTGGGTGCGTAGGTGATGCATGGGTAGATGCGTGAATAGGGGTGTAAAAATTAAAAAACCATATCATCACCATTCTTAAAAAATTTAGAAAATTTTACTATCAATTTCTAAAACATCGATCAATAAATTTGTGAATGCGTGGGTGGGTGCGTGGATGGGTGGAAACTTAAAAAAACCACATCGTCACACTCCCCGAAAAATTTGCAACATTTTAGTACCAATTTCGAAAAAAATCGGTCCATAAATATGCAACTGCGTGGGTGGGTGCGTGGGTAAAAGTGTAAAACTTAAAAAAAACCACATAATATCCATCCCCGAAAAATTTGCAACATTTTGGTACCTGTTTCACGAAAATCAGTCCACAAATGTGGAAGTAGTTCGCGGTTAGACAGACAGACAGACAGACGGATGGTGCTTATATATATAGATTACCGGTCATTATTAATACAAACCAATAACTTCAATCTTATAAGGTTAAAGTGATAAATTTATCACATTGACTGGTTATTATTAATAATTTCCGCATATTCGTGATAAATTTAATAAATTTTGAAACAAAGTTGCGTTAGGAAATTTCTGCCCTGCACTAAAAGCTCTATCATTATAATTTTCTATTTAGATCGAATCAATGATGTTAAGCCCACATCATGTATTTCTTCGCGTAAACTAAATCGGCAAATTGAAATATATTTGATTAATAGTTTCTTCAATATTATTGCAAAACATGCAACAAATAATGATGTACTAACATATATATTAAAAAACTTTGAAAGAATTAATCTTAGGTAAAAAATAATATTATTCCCTACATAAATATATATATATATATATATATATATATATGTATGTATATGTACTATTCTTAATGATATATGCAAACTTTATCTGTACATTTGTTGTTTTGTAGACAAATTAACATAATTGCAACATTAACTGCTATTATTAATAGCATGTATTCTTTAAACCAACTTATTGAAGTAAGTATTTTATGAATTTATTATACATAAATAAAATATATCTTTATATGTGCACGCGGTAAAATTACTTTATACATGACCCAGACAGCACACAATATTTATGATAAAAATTCATAAATATTTATGAATATATATTTTTTTCAAATACAAAGGTCATTTGAAAAGTTTCCGACCTCATCGACATAAAGTAATTATAGAAAAAAATTTCTTTCACCGTCCGATAGATGACCTTCCCAGCTAACAAGACAATTAACCAAAAACTAAATTATAGTTATTTTGACGTATATTTGATGTTAAATTGACGTCAAAATGACGAATTTTGCTACCTTGGTGCCACGCGGCAATTAAGAAGTAACACACGATAGCCAATCAACGTATTGCTTTTTGAGCAAAGTTTATTGGCTTTATTATTACTATTAGGCCCAAGCACACACTCTTGCATAAGCGCATAACGCATACGCATAAGAAATTCGATTGGTTGAATTCCTTATGCATATTTGTTATGCGTTATGCAAGAGTCCCAGGTAGCAAGCTGACGTTATTAAACATCAAAATGACGTCATTTTGACGTCATTTTGATGTCAGCTTGCTAGGTAGCAAGCTTCCCGCTTATACCGCGTCCCTTCTTGCCGCGCGGCGAGCACATGTGTAAGGCAAGCGTTTTCGTATCTCGTGCAGGCAGAAGCCACATGTGTATTATGTGTTTTAAGTTATTTTTTAGTAAATTTAAGTAAGAAGTTTAAATTGTGTTTAAGTTTGTACATTATTAAAGTGCATTTCAACATCAATAAGGTAAGATAAAAATATCTTTTTGTATTATTTTGCACAGATATACGCATGAATTAGACATGTGAGGTTATATTGCAATGTAAATGCTTTACAATATCTATATTTATAATTCATTTAAAAAATTTAATTAACATATTGTATAATGCAGCCTTTATAATTGTTGATACACATAGATGGCATTTGTAGGAGTAGAATTTTGTACAGAAGCAAATGATGGAAGTTTGGCTAGTGTTCACTCACAGTGGCTCACACCACGAAAACAAGAAGTACTTTAGCCACCTGTTAAAACACAGGACAGTTATAATAAATTACTAAAAAAGAAAGAAACACCGACAGAAAAGTGGCAAATATATAAAATAAAAAAGTTCTTTTTACAACTGGTAAGATCAATATAACATTCTGTTTAAAAATTAGGTTATAAAATTCTTGGTTTCTTATTCTATATTTTCAGACAATTTTGAAAAATCAAAAGAAAAGTTGGAAAAATATGAATGGACATCTGATATCGCGACAGATGACAATGAAAATATTATTGGAAAAAGTAATAGGACAAAACCAAAAGTATAAAACAACATCGTCTGAATCTTCTGATGAAGAGAGAGAATCAACAATACATGCAACTAATATGAATGCAAAGATATTTTCTAGGCTTCCTACAATTGTGAAGAACACTTTATATAATAAATCCAATATAGTTAAAGCAGTAAGCGCACATTTATCATCATCTCAGTCACATTTAAAAGAAATATTTACTCCTATTCAGGAAGTAATAACAACCCAGTAAACATCGAAATCTTGTAGAAATCTAAAAGATATCTCATTAAAGAAATATTCAAGATATTTCTAAAAGATATCCAGAAGATATCTAAAAGATGTCTAAAAATACTTTATTCAAGATTTCTTTGTAGAATTTCTAAAAGATACCTTTAAATATCTGAGAAGACATTTTAAATGATATCTTTAACATATTATGTAATATACATATTAAAGATATCTAAATAATTTCTTTTAAAAGATGTCTTTAATGTAATTTTAAAAGATATCTATTATACATCACATGTTAAAGACATCTTAAAACAAATTTTTAAAAGATGTTTAATAGATATATATTAAATTAAATTATAAAAATAATAATACTGTATATATTATTTTATTATAATTAAAGAACTAGTGTTATATAATTTTAATTACGCGGGATTACGCTTTCTAAATGTATTTGTATATTCCGCGGTTCCAAGCCGAACATTCTCTATTATTTTTGCTGCCGACGGGCGACGGACGACCGCATGGACGACGGGCGAGGAGAACGAAAGCGTAATTTTGATTAAATAAGGTAATCTCTTTTATTTTGTATGTAAACTCTTTTTTTAAAAATATATAAAGCATTATGAAAAATATTTTTATAACATTTTATTATAATATAATATGTGTGACACAAAATATTCTGCAAGTTTGAGGTTAATTGTAAGAACATGGCAAATTAAGAATTTATTTAAGCATTTTATGCAAAAAAGATGTAATGATATATAATGACAAAATCAACTTAATGTGTATCTGTATATCGTCGTTGCATCTTAATGTAGACTACTGTAGACAGATCAAAAATTTGATATGCAATGGTGTATGTTTTCTGTCTACATTAATATACAACGATGATATGCGAATACACATTAAGTTTAATCGGCTATTATATCATTACATTTTTTTGCATTAAATGCCTAAATTAATTATTATTTTGCCATCTGTTTACAAGTAACCTCGAACTTGTAGCAAAATACATTACTCCGTTACATTATTGAGTAATGCTATATAATTTAATCTTTGTATCTTTTTAGGAAGCAAAATTTAAATATGAAGAACAAACAAGTTGCTGTACATATTGAGAATGTCACACATGCAAAGTCCTTGTGGTCCAGTCTTAGCGATTTTATTCAAGTTTTTCTTCATATTGAATAATTGAGTTCAGACAGCGAAGAGTTCAGGTATACAAATTCTTCTTATTATCATTGTGTTTCCAAGCAAACTTAATAATGAAAATATTTAAGATTTTATTCCAAATGTAATTCATTTAAGTACAAATTAATATTTATTTTTTTACATAAAATTTTAATTACTGTAATTAAATTTTAAAGCAAAAATAAGATATTTTAACCCAAGGAGAACAAAAAGTCACGATAATGTCAAAATGACGTCAAAATGAAGTTAAATGGCGAAAATCACAATGACGTCAAACAGGGAAAAAAGTGACTATATTTTGACATTATTTTGACCTGTTTTTTATATTCAGTGCATTGAATAAGGGAGAATTCACACCTAGGCAGAAAAGCAGAAAACAGGAAAGCATTAGCCAATCAAAACTCGGACTGGTAGTAAACATAATACAACAGAAAAATTCTTCGGTTACTACTTACTATCAGCGCGAGTTATAATATATTAGCTTATTAATGCTTTGCTGTTTTCTGCTTTCTGTCTAGGTGTGAATCTCCTTTAAAGCAGTTTCACAAGTAGAAGATAAAGAAAGAACAATGTAGAAATAAGTTAAAATTACTTTTTATTGTAGTGTCTTTGTTAACTTAAAAATATTTTGCATCTAAACATTTAATATTATAAAGAGAAGTCTTTAACTAAAAAAAATTAAATATAGAAAAGCTCTTCTATAAATTAAAAGAAATATTACTTTTTTTTAAATAACAAATATTATAACTTTACAAAATTAATATTATTATAGAAATATTATATATAATAATATACTATCTTTTTTAATTGAAGAATAAAAATTTTAAAGACATAACAAAGATAAATATATATATTTTATAGAACTAAAAAATAAAAATAAATTAACTTTATTTACCTTATTTAAACTAAGACAAAAAGTGACAAATAAAAAAAAGTAGAATTTATGTGTTAAAGTCGGAATACAATTAATCCCCATCAAAAGATCCAATTAGTCTGATCGCTGCATAGAAGTGTTAAACCATCGTTTTATATGGTCTTCAAATACGGAAACCTGCACCTTAGGAAACTTCTTGAAACAAACACCTATAATTAAAAAAAAAACAATAAAGCAGGAGTAATTTAATATTCTAATCAGCAAACAATAATTTAACTTTAAATATATATTTCTAATATAATATATTTGTTCATTAATTGAATATATATATATATATATATATATATTTAATAAATTTGAAAATAAATTTTAAAAAACAAGATGATATTCACCTTCTATTAGATTTTTCACTTTGGATTTTTGAAAACTGAGCTTGACTCCTCCAGAACCTTTCCAACTAATGAGTCGTGCTACGTTGTTCCTAAGTAGAGTCGACAAAATAGAATAAGTGTAAATAGAGGTTGTTTCTTCCTTTCCTTTTTGTAACAGGTAATTGAGCTATAACATAAAGCCAGTTTAAATATTTAATAAAGATATACATATTTGAATTAACAGTGATTAAAATAAGGCACTATAAAAGAAGGTATTCTCACGTCCGCCATTTTCTTTCCAACTAGGAAGAAATTAACTAATCACAATTGAATTTAGAGAAAAATAATTTTGTGATTGGTTAATTTCCTCCTAGTTGGAAAAAAAATGGCGGACGTGAGAATATCTTCTTTTATAGTGCCTTAGTTAAAATACTCACCATTTGACCATATAATACTTTATTATTTAATTGTTCATCAAAGTTTACAAAAGATTCCTCAGTTTCCAATGGCAAGGAGGGAAATCCTTCAGGCTGATCAAAAGCGTCATTATTGGGGAACAATTCGTTCAAAGTTTGAGAAATCTTAATGTGCAGCCAATCTATCTTCGTTGACAATTCTTGCATGTAATTCAGGATTAATTGATCTTGAGGTTTACCTGTCAGAAAACCACATTAATCAAATAACAGTTTTTAGTCAAATCTATATTATCTATAATAAATATAATATTTAATCCGTAAGAGATTAATTATAATCACAGAATGTGTGAGAGAAATAATCGAATATGATTATACATATAATTAATTTCTTATGATTTAAAAGTCTGAAAGTTTTTACATATACAATAATAATAATATTGTATATGTAGAAACTTCCAGACTTTTAAATCATAAGAAATTAATTATATGTATAATCATATTCGATTATTTCTCTCACACATTCTGTGATTATAATTAATCTTTTACGAATAATAAAAATTGTTTTCATTGGCAAGTGACATTCACGTCAGTTGCAGGAGGAGAACCATCCAGTTATACTGCCGAGATTCGATCGTCTTACAGAACTCTTGGTGAGGAACGCACATCTGAGGGTTTACCACGGCGGGGTTCAGATGACCTTGGCGAACCTGCGGAGGAACTTCTGGATACCGGCGGGTCGCAGCCTGGTCCGTGGCATTCTTCATCGCTGTGTTACGTGCGTGCGGCATAGGGCCGCCCCGTTCCAGCCTCTCATGGCGCCCTTGCCGGCGACCAGGGTGACGCCGGCTCCCCCGTTCTCCACGTGCGGGGTCGACTATGCTGGTCCTATCGGCGTGCGGACGACCAAGGGGCGAGGACATCGCAGTTGCAAGGGGTACATCGCGGTTTTCGTGTGCTTTGTGACCCGCGCGATGCACCTAGAGCTGGTGAGCGACTATTCGACCTCGGCCTTCCTTGCGGCGTTCCATCGCTTCGCCGCCAGACGCGGCGTACCGGCCGTCGTATACAGTGATCAGGGCACGACATTCGTTGGAGCCGATCGGGAACTGCGGACGGCCCTCAAGGCCGCTGGTGCAGAAGGAGGCCCCATCGCGGAAGCACTGGCGAACGACGGCACGGAATGGCGATTTCAACCGCCGGCGACGCCCCACTTTGGCGGGATCTGGGAAGCCGGGGTCAAATCGGTCAAACACCACCTCCGCCGAGTCGTCGGGGAACACACCCTAACATTCGAGGAGCTTGGCACCTTCTTGGCACGAGTCGAGGCGTGTCTCAATTCGAGGCCTCTACACGCCATATCGGACGATCCGGACGACCTCAGCGCGTTGACTCCGGGACATTTCCTGATCGGCAGGCCGCTGGTCAGCGTTCCGGAACCGAGCCTGGAGGGTGTCAACGAGAGACGACTCTCCAGATGGCAGTTACTCCAGCAGTTGACCGAGCACCTGTGGTCTCGTTGGTCGCGAGACTACCTACATACCCTCCAGGCGAGAGGAAAATGGACCAAGGAGACCGAGGCTCCCCGAGTCGGCGAGCTCGTCGTCGTCCGGGACGAGCGACTCCCACCGTCGCGCTGGATGATGGCGCGGATTTTAGCGCTACACCCCGGACCAGACGGTCGCGTGAAAGTTGCACAGGTCCGCACCGCGGATTCCACCCTCACGAGGCTTCTGGTCAAATTGGTGAGGCTGCCCACCGAGGACGACAAGGGGAAGACACCTTGAGTTCAGCAGACCAGTGGCCACTTCTTCCGTCGAGGACGACGGAGGCGGGCGGAATGTTCGGAGTCCGTCCGAACTGTTATTCGGCATGATGGGCGCGTGATACCATGCGACTCTCAAGCGTGAGCACGTCGTGATCTTCCCTGCGAGGCACGCTTGCCCCGTTTTTGGGTGAAATGCCTAAGCGCTCCGACGAGTCAGTCGTCCAAGAGACCCGAACGTTAACGAGCGAGTAATCCGCGATTACGAACCCGGTAAATTTACTCATTTTTTTGTGCCAAAATAAAACCATCCAATAAATCCTTTTTTACTTGAGTACGTGGCGTCCCACGAACAGTCTGAAAGTTTTTACATATACAATAATAATAATATTGTATATGTAGAAACTTCCAGACTTTTAAATCATAAGAAATTAATTATATGTATAATCATATTCGATTATTTCTCTCACACATTCTGTGATTATAATTAATCTTTTACGAATAATAAAAATTGTTTTCATTGGCAAGTGATAGTTTTTGGAACCGACTATTTTTACTCAAATTTATTAATTAATATAATGAGAGTTACTAATGTTATTGACAATGATGACTTTTTTATATTATTGACAAATTACTATAAAAGTTCGATTCTATAACAGGTATAATAAACCTTAAACCTGATTTATGGCTGTCAATACCTAAAGCCGTAAATTGTAAAAAATAAACTAATCATATAGTTAAATGTCAGAAGAATAATCGAATATAATGGATTAAATTTAAGGCTTACAGGATAAATTATTGTATATGTAGAATATAAAATTATTGTATATGTAGAAATGATCACTTGCCAATGAAAACAATTTTTATTCTTTCATTATAAAAATAAAGTAGAGAATATAACTTACTGCTAGCTAGTTCTGGTGAAGACTGTGAACCTATCAATAATAAAATGTTCAATTCAGAATTAATTAATTATTTTTTATCATAATAATAAGGTAATCAATAAAAATACCTTCTAAAAACCTTTTTAATGATGTAGATCTGTTTCGAGAATTTTTTTTTTATTTATTTGTCTCACACTATCGTAATCAGATTTTGTAAGTATATCTTGAGATTCTGGAGATTGCTCAAAAGTGGAAGCCTTTTCAGATAAATCAAAATTGTAAGAAGAATTTGGAGATCTCAAAGTTGATGACATTTCATTGTCAGACAAGTTTTCTTTATTAATAGATTCTGAAAAATAAAAGTACAAGAGCATATAAGGATAGTCTACTACTATTAAATGCTGCAATAAAATTCCAGTAATTAGAAATACAAACCAGATTGTGTAGACTTTTCCTGCGATAATCGACGAACAAGAGTTGTATTTTTCTTTGATGATGTAGATGAAAGATTTGAATTAGCAAAATATTCATTCGTAGACTTAGCTGAATTCTTGGCTTTGCTACTCTCAAATAATTCCTTGAGCTTTGAAGACAGAATTGAACTAGGTTTTGGAATATTGTGTTTTGGAATATTAAGTTTCTTCTTTTTTGATTCTTCAACTGACTCAGAATCTGATGAAAATGTTAGATGTTCAGGCGGCTTTCTCTTGCGTGGTTGATTGTAGTCTGTCTCAACATCTGTTGCAACAATTGTGTCCTCTTTAACAGCTTTATTTCTAGCTTTTCGGGCAACATTGAAAGTGGCTGTATGCAAAAACCACAAGACAAGATTAAATTACGAAGATATAGTCTTGCACTGTAAAAAAAAGATAAAAACTTACAATAACTATGATGAAATATAATGGGCAGCAGTTCCCATGTGGATGAATCATAATCCACCAGACTCATCACCATCTTCATACATTTCCCCTTCATGAAACGTGGCGGATAATAACAAAACTGTCTGTCCTCGCTAATCCACTTGGTTGGTACAACTTCTACAAGGATTTCTTCTTCATCACTTTCAGCTTGAGGCACAAACTCTATGACAGAATACTGTAAAAAAATAAATTTGAAGTTTACATCAAAAAAACAAATAAAGTAATGACATAAATGACCAATAAGATCTCACCAAAAATTTACTGAGGACCATTGTGAAGGAGAGGAATGCAAAGAAAACTATCTTCATCGGGTAAAATAACACATTTTTGAAAAAAATCCTGCAGTTTGTATATGGTTTTTACAGAATCTATATGTGACACTTTAAAAATTCCAATGAATGAGGAAGGAAATGGGTAGTCATAATAATCTACTTTGCAAAGAAACTTATGCCCTGCTAATAATATATCGCCATTTGGTGAAGCTATAACTTCGGTTAAGATAAGTATGTTCCCATCTTTTGTTGAGAAACAGCAATTAGCTTTATTAGTCGAAAGAGTTATATCCTTTAAATATATTTGTGCATAGCGATCACCAGGAATTTCTGGAACAATATTTCTATGCAATTGTTTTTTTAATGTAACTTTATTCAGATTTGGTCTCTTTGACTATGCAGCAAGTTGCCTTCTTGTCTCAAAATCCCTATTAACTAACTGCTGGAGAGGCTTATCAGTTAAACGCAAGTGATGTTTAATTACAGCCATAAAAGACTCGTATTTAAAAGCACTGAAATCCAATAACGTACCATTTTTCTGGCATTCAGTAGCCATGTGACAAAGACAATGTATATTGTATACCACATATGATTTATCAAAAATATCTGTGGAATGCCTGATAAACTCACGATATATATTATCAGCAATAAAAATCCAATAATTGCTTTTGACAAATTCAGGAGATGAGAGAATGTAAGATGCAGAATGAATTAATAAAAAGTTTTTGTAAGTGTTTTCATGAAGTCTGTATCGAAAAATGCGCACTCCATCATACAGAAGAATACCTCTCCACTCAGTTGCTTTAAACTTGGCTTTATAATATAAAGATCTTGGTCTACGGTTGAATTTCATGGGAATCCAAGAAGCAATGTCAATTATATCAGAGCATAAGCTCAAACGTGTTAGTCTTGAAATTTTACCATATGTGATAGCTTGATATCCACAAAGATACAGAACCCATCTCTTAAAAGCCCCTTCAAATAACAGATGCATTGGATCTAAACGAAACTTTGAAACCATTCCACTGTTGTCACTTGCCATATTTTCTAGAGGCGATACTCCATTATGGTGACTAGGCTGATCTCTTCTTCGATAAGATTCATCCGTACGCAATGATGCATTGAGATTCAGAAAGGTAAGACGATTTCTAAAACGTGCACCTTTTACTGTGCACTTTTCACATGCATAGATACTGTTGTGGCTTGAAATACATTTTACATATTGTCGTGCTACAGCATCAAGTATGTATTGTAATTTCTAATTTTAAAGGAATAGCGGTTGCCATAGAAGTCATAACCATTTAGGGCTAATTCATCAACTTCATGAATAAAATCTGCTAAAAAGCATCAAGATTGTCTGGCTTTCCAACACCACGCCACACACCTATAATAAATGGTGTAGCTTCTCCTATAAGACAACCCAGTATAGGCCAGAAGTTATCATCAGTGCTTTTAAATAATGTCAAACCATCAATGTTTACGTCAATAATAATTTCTTTATGTTTAAGCAAGTAATCATCGGTAATTCTTTGATTTAAATTAGCAATAATGCCTTTATACCACATTAAACCTTTACCATTACGTTGTAATTCAACTTTGCGTGGAGTTTGCAGTAAAGTTTTGTGAGATTTTGGTAAAAAACTATGGAGGGATCGTAGTCCTACAAGAAGTTCATCAATTTTTCTATGTGCAACACCTCTCATTGCCCATTTCTTCAAAAATTTTAATAGATATTCATCAGAATTCTGTGTTAATTGAATATCATTCTGATCCTGAAGATTAATTACAAATTCTTCATCTGAATCAACATCAGTCTCCACATTTTGCTCAAAACTAACATTGTCTTCATCTAATTCATCATTATTATTGCAAAAGTTGTTTCGATTCTCTTCTACTTCTGAATGAATTGATGAATTATCACATGAATGTTGATTATGACCTTCTAGTTCAAAAATTTCTAATGCATCATTAACTTGTGTCAAAGTCTGTCTTACTTCTTCGGTCTTAAGACGCTTCCTGACCTCTTTCACAAATGAAGCATGCAGCTTGCGTTTCATATTTTGCTTTACGTACAATAAATAAATTTAAGAGAATATATTATTTATACCTAAATGTGTATATGTGTGTGACAGCATAAAAGTCTGTAAATTTAATAAATAAGATAATATCGCAACAGTATTATACATAATATAAATATGACAGTACAACAAAACACAATATAAAAGTAAAAAAATTTAAAGTAAATAGAAATATTATCACAACATGACAATACAACAATACATATAAAAAAAGAAAGATTATTCAAATGAACAGAAATATTTACTCAGCTTTATTTTAACCTCTTTGTTGGATTTTTCTGATGTCAAACTATATGATCATTTTCTGCTATCTTTATAAAGAAAGTGCGTCAGCCGACACATATATATTATTCTAACGCAAGGAACTTTATTCCATCAACGATGTTAATATACACAAAAGTATGTAAAATCTAACAAATATTATTTTAAAAATCTTAAAAAATAATAAATTTGTACTACACAATTCTCTAATATTTTAACTATGAAACTTTAAAAATCAAGAGGTTAATATTAATTAGCAATTATAAATACCTTTAATGAATTCATTTTCTTCGTGTTTCCAGGCACAATTAAACCGCCAAATAATCACACCACTAATGAAAACAGACCATTCGTCCTCTTCTGGATTTGTTCACGCTTGCTTTGTGCGTAGTACACGTGCACACACGTTACAACACGCGTCAAAATAAATATGGCAACTGTATGGCGTCACTTTCGATTTCTAAAGTTTTAGCGCCCTCTATATCCATGCAGGCTACAATGACGTCATTTTGACGTCACCGCAGAAAGGCTTGATATAAATTTGACATTTTAAAGTCAAAAATGACATCATTTTGACACTATCGTGACTTTTTGTTCTCCTTGGGTCAAAAGAAATGTAAGTTTGTGATGTACTGTAATCTGCGTTTAAGGGTCGGCAGTACACCCAGGCAAACTCCGAATTGATATTGGAGACCTCGTGCGGTGACAACGCGAAACTCCGGTTTCAGTGTTGCCAACGCCGAGAAACCAATTCTCGGGTTTTATGTAGTGGTGTATGTCTGTACACGTACATACACCACTGCATCGCTCACGCGGACGCACGTAAGAGAGACAAGGACCGATAATCACGTGTTCTCCTTGTTCCTCTACCGTGCCGGTATACGCGAGATGCCGCCTAAAAATGCTTTCTGGCCTTCCGTAGCAGAAAGCAGTAACGTAGCAAGACTAATAAGCACCCATTTTTGTAAATTTTATATATGCTTATGCACATATGTGGATATATTATTTATATATAAATATATATATATATATAAAATATACTAATTTACTCTCAATTATATATGCTACTGTTATTATTTATCATTAGACAATTATAAAACAGAGGTTAGAGATTTGGTCTGACTACACTGGCCTCAAATTAAAGTTGTATATATATTTATTTTAACGTTTCGACCATACGGGATGTGGTCCTTTTCAAAAATACAGATTGGAATATCAGAGAGTTACAGCATTTCGTCTTTAAAATTTAAGCGCAAATTATGATTCGGAGAGATTTAACTTGTCAAATAATAAAATATAAAATAAATTATAAAACATATACATATATAATTTGTAGTGCTATATATATATATATGTTTTATAATTGTCTAATGATAAATAATAACAGTAGCATAATTGAAAGTAAATTAGTCTACAATGTTAGACACGGGTACTTGTTAGATTTGATAATTTATTGCTTATACTTTTTCGAGAGACAAGAATAAGAGAACGAATATAAATTATTATTAGCTTGTATAGCAATCATAGATTGACGAATATGCGTTGGTTATTCTTGATTTCTTTTCTATTATTGATGTTATTGTATAATTTGCTCCATAAATACTTATAACATAAAAGAACTTATGTCGAGTAATATTGATCAATGCAAAGGATGTTCAGTATGTATCACCCAGTAAATTATTAGAGTTCAAATATATCAATATCAATTTTTTAATAATATATTGGAATACAGAGAAATGATAAAAAAATATATTTCGGCAATAAAAATTTTATAAATATATTGAAAATATTTTTACTACACGCGCGCGTGCGCACACACACACACACACACACACACCCACATACACACTATATAAATGCAAAATAATACAGAAAATAAATTTTTAATAAAAATCAACATACCAGCTATTTGTGTGTGTATATGTAGCTGCAAGCATGCAACGGATTTATTACTTGATAAATTTATTTACGGATTTATTTTGCATTTATATATATATATATATATATATATATATATATATATATATATAGTGTATGTAATTGTAAAAATGATTAAAATATTTTCAATATTTAAAAATTTTCAAGTTTATCGCCTTATATTTCTATAATTTTTCTATATTCTAATATATTATAAAAAAATTGATATTGATATATTTGAACTCAAGTTTTTTACGTGATTGAATATTATTGCATTGAGCCATCATACGTTACTCGTAAGTTCTTTTACGTTATAATAGTATTTATGTAGCAGAGAGAAAGAGATAAGAGAGAGATTATACAATATAACTTCAATAATCGAAAAAAATCACGATAACGCTATTGTCATATCTATGTGTGTGCATATATATAAACTTATATATTATATATTTTATAAATAAGTAAAATATTATGCAGACAATGTATACAATATAAAATGTTCAGTTTGTGCTATGCTTCAATCAATAACACTGGTCAACAAAAAATGACTTTTTTTAGGTTTGAAGATTTCCAAAGCGTATTTTTGTAGATTTTTTTCATGCCGATTACAAATTCGGCCGCAAAAATTGCGTATCACGTCACGTTTTTTAGATATCTTGATCTAAAGATGCAAAAAAGGGCATTTTAGATACTTTTCCGTAAAATATATAGCTTTAAATTGGGATGTGATAAAAAGTGCTACGACGGCTCAAAATAAAACTTCTTGTAGTTTATGTAAAAAATATATAAAAGGTCGAACCTATAAACAGTTTATTGAAAAAACTAAATTAAAAAATTGAAAATATTTTTCGCACGTTTCCTTATACTACTAATACAAAGTCTTTAGAGGTTCGATAGAATGGTTCACTTTTTTCACAGATATTAATGTAAAAATTTCTTCACTGATAAATAATGAATGTAAAATCAGATTTTTAAAATTAAGAAAGGCGGATTACAATTTTAAAGATTAAAGATTAATTAATTTAAAGATTATAAATTGAAAAAGAATATTTAAAAAAATATTCTTTTTCTCTATTAATCTTAAAAAAATATTTTTTAATATTTTTATATATTAAAATATACTACCTATATATATTATTATATACAAATAATTGTTGATTATTATATTGCATTATTAATTAATTGAAGTTAGAGCAACATGGCAGCAGCGTTTTTTTTTACGTGGGGGAAACCTTCAAAAGGCACCCCGGTTTTCTGGGGTAGTGTGAGATTCTTACTCACTAAAACCCCCACTATGCATACGTTACATGCTGCAATATGGCGTTGATTCAATGGTATCCACGCCTCTTTATTGAAAGTGATCCGCCCTTCAGACGTCTCCAAATCTATCTGCAACAAGCAACTCTATAGATAATATCAATATAATTATAGTAAAAGAAATAATTCATTATAAAATCTGAAAGGAAAACAATGTCAATTATATAATATTAAAATATCAATTACTTATAATAACATCATAATTTTTTGCGCTTATTGGAAACACAACAATAGAAGCGCTACAACATATTGTTACATATTCTTATCCCGAAAATCGTTATATATAAATATTTAATACAAAATATTGTAAAAAATATTTAATATAAATATAAAAAATAATATAAATAATAAGAAATGTTAATAAAAGAATAATATATGCAATTTTTTCCAATGCAATCAAACATCTATGAATTATATATTTGATTGTATTATTTTTGAGATCTTTTCTATTTTAAAGTTTTTAATGTAGTACAATTACTTTGGAATAAAGATATATAATAATATGTATACAATGTACAGTAAACAATAGCAAAGCAATGTACATATAAATATACATACATTTAAATATCTAATCTTTTCTATAATTTGAAGTTAATAAAAATTTTAATATATGTAATTGCTATTGTTTCTGAACATATTTAATAAACAACACAAATTAATAATTCGAGTGGATCGCAATTTAAACTAAGTTAAATAAATATCTTTTATTTTATCCATGTTTATTTATTTAATGAATATAAAATATAATAAATATAAATGTGTGTGTGTGTGTGTGTGTATACAAAAATGTTGATTATCTCACATTATGTGTTTCAAATTATTATGATTTATTAAATATTTGTAAATAAATCTATATAAATTTTTAATATAAATAATTAAATATTTATGTACAAATAAAATATTTATAAATATTATTTTATTTGTACATAAATATTTAATTATTTATATAGATTTATTTACAAATATATAAATCATAATAATTTGAAACACATTATGTGAAATAATCTACATTTTTGTAAACACACACACACACCCACACACACATATGTAAAAGAACAAGAATAGCAATAATTCTTGCCTAACATTATCTTTCAATTATCGTTTCGTGTACGCAATATATGTATTTCGCATTATGCATCTGTAACAAATTATATCGAATGATTTATTATTTGCATATTAATTTGCATATTATCTACCCAGACAGCACCAAGTCTAAAATTGACGCATAAGATAGCATTAAGAAATCTTTAAGACAACTATCTTATGATATGATATCAAAAAGACATCTTAAAGATATCTTACGCGCCAATTTTGGACTTGGTGTTGTTTGGGTATATACAATAAATAAAATATGTACACAAATAAAATAATATTTGCATAAATATTATTTTATTTGTACATATTTTATTTACATAGATTATATGCAAATATTGAAATAAATCATTCGATAATTTATTACACATTTATTTATTATATAGATTTATATAGATTATATGCAAATATTTAAATAAATCATTCGATTATTTGTTACAGATGCATAATGTGAAATATATATTGCGTACACGAAACGATAATTGGAAGATAATGTTAGGCAAGAATTATTGCTATTCTTATTGTTCTTTTACATATAATATACATATACAGAGAAACAATGATAATACGAAAACCGGTTCTTGCTGATATCTCCCAATAATCGCATTCGTTCAACGCATTAGTGTTTGTGTCTACATGGATGTTACTACATATGCGATGTAAGAGAGACAAAGACAGAATGATAGTCTCTCCTTGTCAAGCTGTTAGCTGTCAGTATGTTACCACGGAAATTTCCCCTGCTCCTTATGAATCTAGTGAGAATCTTATCGTCCAGATATTTCATAAAATAAGTGACAAAACTTTGGTTTTTTTTTTTTAATATATTCTTGATATAATAAAGTAGTCCGCCAAAGAGTCGGATTTTGCATTTTTGCTCTGAAAAATTTATAATAAATAAAATACGGACTCCTGGCTAACCCAACCTTACCCGTTACTAGCTGCGCATTCCCCCAAGTTATATTATAAATTTTATTTTCATCTTTTTTTCAATAAATAACTCTTTGGCGGACTGCATTTGAGCTTACTGATTAAGAATATCATAAATTTAATAAGATTCATTCAGTAGTTTCGCTAATATTTGGAATATAAGAATCTCTAATTCCCGGCCGGCCGATAGGCGTCTCCACCATGTCGCCTGCCGACCCTTAAATAAAAACATTCTTGTTGAATTTGAACTACAAATAAATTCATTATCCGGGCATTAGAT